CCCTCCTGCCCCACCCGGGACCCTGCGCGCAGCCCACGCCCGGCCTTTACCAGACGTCGGGGCTGCGCAGGGCGAGTCGCAGCAAGTAGAGCGCGGCGCTGCCCATGCCCAGGCCGATGAAGCCGATCATCGGGATGAGCTGCGGGGGGACGGAGGGCACTGTCAGGGTCAGCCCCCCTCCGCAGTTCCCAGGCGCCCTTCGCAAGCTCGTCTGCCTGCCCCCGCCACGCCGGGTCTGGTGCTCGGGCCCTTCCGAGGGGAGACCCGGCTCCTCCTGCCACGCTCTATCCTGCGAGGGTCTCCCTCACCATACGGCGATCCTGTGCAAGGTGGATTCGAGGACATGGGAGCATACTGCAGGGCTAGGCTGGGGGCAACCTGGGGGGCGAGGAGGGGACCTGGCACGAGGCAGGGCACTGGGGGATTTGGAGGGCAGGGCAGCAGAAGAGTCAGGAGTTGGAATTCCTGGCTCTGAGGATGGAACTCACGGCCGGATGTCTCTTGATCTGCCTGTAAAAGCGGGCCGCGTGACTGGTTCCTGCCATGTCGCCTCTCTGGTGCCTGGTCCTCTCCAGTGCCTGGTCCTCTCCAGTATGAGTGTCTGCTCTCTTCCTCCTCCTGGGGTCCCGCCCCCAGCTGGGGAGGGATCAGCCCAGCCCGGCCCAGCCTGGCCCGCTTCTTCCCACTTTTCCCGGACTCGCCCCACCCCCACTCAGCTCGCTTTCTCCACAATTCCGGGCCCAAAGCTGGGAGGGGAATCGCTGGAGAGCCACAAGGTTTCTGCTCTGGACTGTCTCCTCCAGACGCCTGTACCTGGCCCAAGGGACGCTGTCATACTTGGGGCTTTGGGCACCTGAGGGAGAGGCCTCACTGGCACAGCCCCAGAGACGGACTGAGAGGGCCTCCAGTTGTGGGAGGAGGAAGGCCATGGGACAGGCAAGCAGATAGACCTCTGGCAAAATGGAGTGTGGAATGTTCACAGGTGGGACCAGGAGGGGCTGGGGACCAGGGAGGGCACGCCCAGCACTTCCTTGGTGCCCCTACAGCTGTCTGGAAGTCAGCAGGTCCCGAGGACTCTGGTTCTGACCCCCAACACAGCGTAGTGGGAGAAGGAGGGGGACAGGTCGCCATCAAGGCTGTCCCAGCCCCTCTTGTCCTGAACGACTTCTCCAAGTTGTGGTTGGACGAGACTCATGGTGGCAGCACGAGGAACCAGGTGTATCTTAATCCGGCTCAGGAGAGAATAAGTCAGTTGTCCTCGAAGCTGGGCTTGAGAGACTTTCTTGCTCAGCCTACCTGGGGTAGGGATGAAGGTGGAGCCACCCAAGGAGGCCACCGTCTGCCCCTGGCTGTGGGTGGGTTGGAGAGGAAGAGGATGGAGTGAGGCAAAGAGTTCAGGAAGGACAGAAAAGACGCTGAAGTAGGAAAGAAGACAGAGCGGGACAGCAATGGCCTTCCTCAGTCAACTCAGGTGCATGCTAGGCTGCAGGGTGGGAAGGCTCGCAGCAACCCCCCACCCCCACCCAGGCTTTTGGCGAATTGGGGTCTCGGGCGCAGGAGCCGAGCCCCACCTGCTTTCCCTCACTCCCACCCAACCTCCACCACCCCCTCCCGCCCCCGCTTC